GCCCCCCACCTAAACTCCATTTGTGAAAGCCCAAGCCATTCACCATTTGAACAAGTCAGGCTGGGTTATTCCCTTTGGTTAATGCTAAAATGGGTCTTCCTAGGACAGTGGATAATCTGCAGTAATTAATCAAAGGTAAGTATGACACCCCGCCCCCATCCTCCTCCCTCCCATCAGGTTCTCTGGCAGAGGCCAGGGCAAACTCTTCAGTGAATGTAGATCATGTCAGAGACTGCTCCTGGCAAGTGGGTCATGACCTGCATTCGCAGCCACCAGTAGTAGTCCATGGGGTGGTATCGGGTGTAGGGGGTGGCGGCAGTCAGGGCATGTGTGACAGCATCGATGACGGAGGATGTGTCCGTGGAGCCACTGTTACAATAGGTCGCCATCTTGGCAATCTTCTCATCGAAATACTTCTTGCCATAATCCTTGCGCACCACCTCAGGCAGTTCATCCCACATCTTCTTGGCGATGGCCTGGATGCGCTCAGGGCTGTAGAGGCTGGTGGCAGCAATGAAATTGCCAGGCTCCACCACACTGACCTTCACGCCCAGCGGGTACATCTCATAGCGCAGGCAGTCAGAGAAAGCCTCCACCCCGAACTTGGTGATACAGTATGGGGAGCGAGCGGGGTTGGCCATGCGGCCCAGCATGCTGCTGATGTTGACAACACGGCCTAAAGGTGGAGATGGCAGACATTTGTTCAGATGGCAATGCCCTATGACATGGAGGCCTGGCAGGGACAGCTTTGGAACCCCCAAAGCCTCATCTAGAGGCCAAGGTTAGCCAAGGCCATTCAGCAAGTCAGTATCCCTGATCTTCCCCAAGGGCTCTGCTGTGCCAGGAAGGACTGGGAAGATGGGCAACCAGTGAGAAGCAGGCCTGTGTACCAGTAAGGCACACTATAATGAGCAATACCAGCCTGTGATCATTCCTTGGGATGAAACACACTGGGAGCACACATGGGAGATGGCATGGCTATGTCCATGTGGATCTACATATTCACACTAAGTTGGGTCTGATGCCCAACAGGGAGAGAGGCAGACCAAAACCTCCTTCCTCCTCATGGAGATTAAAACTCAGCTTCCCCAGCAAGATATATAGATAACACTTTGAGTCCAAGTGGGTACTGACCGATGGCAGAGCTAGGGATGGAGATGGAGTGCTGAAGCCAGGGTGCCCAGGGTTAGGCTGGCAAAGAAAGCATGGGACACCCCAAAAGCGAGGAGGACCTGGGTTGATGGGCTC